TTGGGCTGCGATGTCAGAGCATACAGGGGCTTGGCAATCTTTGAAAAATCCTTCACGAACCTCCTATAATACCCTGCAAAGCCTAGGAATTGCCGTACAGCTTTGGCCGAGGTTGGGACAGGCCATTCCTCCAACGCTGAACATTTGACCGGGTCAGTTTGGATGCCGTCTGCTGATACCACATGCCCAAGGAAGTTGATGGAGCTCTTGAGCAGGTGACACTTGGAAGGTTTTGCCTTGAGACCATGTTCTGCTAAGCGAGAGAAGACCATGTTCAACCTTTCAAGATGTGACGTGAAGTCAGCAGAGAATACAATAATGTCATCAAGGTAAAACATGAGCGTCTCACAGGACTGATCTCCAAAACACCGCTCCATGAATCGCTGAAAAGTCGCCGGTGCATTACTCAAGCCAAATGGCATCCTATTAAACTCATACAATCCCATAGGAGTTGTGAAAGCCATCTTAGCCCGGTCAACTGGATCCATTTCAATCTGCCAGTAGCCGCTCATCAGGTCAATGGTGGAGAAATATCTGGAGCCACGGAGGGCATCCAGGGACTCCTCAATTCTGGGCAATGGGTAGGCATCAGGGGTGGTGACTGCATTAAGGCGTCGGTAGTCAACACATAAATGCAAGTCTCCACACTTCTTCCTAACCAACACGATAGGAGAAGCCCAAGGGCTGGAGCTCTGATGACCTCCTTACTCAGAAGGGCCTTGAGGTGGTCTTTCACCTCCTTGTACAGGTGTGGGGGGACTCGCCGATACCGTTCCTTGATGGGTCTATTCGTCTCAGTGGGGATCTTATGTTGTACTGTAGTGGTCTTCCCAAAATTGTTGCTATCTTTGGAGAAAACATCCTGGTGTCGATGAAGAAGGGAGCACAGCTGCCCAAATTCATCTGTGGTCAAGTCCTCTCGACCAACATTCACCGGCACTGGCAGCTCCTGTGGTGTGATCTTACATCCATCCTCTGTCTGCTCCCAAAGACTCACTTTCACCTCAGTAACCCCAGCTCGACCAACTCCAGCTTGTCCACAGATGGTGCACTCTTCAGCACTTCAGTCACACCACTCATTTGTGCTAGCCTCATTCCACTGTGTGCCTTGACATCCCACTGATTAGGGTTGGCTACTTGAACAGGAACAAGGCCCTTTGTGGTTGTACAGACCCTCTTGGCAATCACGAGATGTTTGGGCAGGAACTTCGCAGGGGTTGGCTCAATCAGGACTGCACTCTCATGCACATAAGAGGGGTGGCATCGCCCAGGGATGACCATTTCTGTGCCGGCAGGTATTACTATGGGGCGCTGGTTGGCTGCACAGACGATATCAGATGGTGGCCTGGAGCGCCGGGACCGAGGCTCTGTCTGCATCATTCTTGAGAAGAAAGACGCTGACTCCTTGAAAAGCAAATCTTGACAGCTCTGCAGCACGTTCATACCAAGAATTGGTCTGGTTGGGGTCTCAGTCGGCTTGAGAATGAAAAAGACCGCCTGCTCAACCTGACGGCCTATCAAGTACACATCTAGCTCTACCACGCCTTGGTATGGGATCTGCAGGCCATTGGCGGCTACTAAACGGATGTAAGGGTTTGCGAGGCTACTCTCCTCGATGTTAGTCTGGAAGTATTCCCTGAAGACCTCATATGGTAGTGTAGAAACCTGGGACCCAGTGTCCAGAAGACAGGTGACCTCCTGACCTCCCAGAACAACATCGATGTAGAGGCAATCCCCGACGGCCTTACTAGAGTGTTCCAGTGTCTGGCCCTCGACACTGGAACATTCTAGTTTAACGGAGCCAGTCGTTGCCTGGTGTCACACTCCTTCGCCATGTGCCCGGGCTTGTCGCATCTCAAGCAGATCGGGTTTCCTTGGTCGTCCCATCTGGGTTGCCGTCTCGGTAGTCTCCTTACATTGGCAGATGAGGAGTTGGAACGAAGCTGGTTTAATTCCAACCTCATGGCTGCCATCATCTCTGCCATCTCCCGTTGCTGCTGGACAGGCCTCTCAAGGGTGGCCTGGAGGATCTGCATCGGGGAGCGGGCCTGGGGGACACTGGCAGCCTTCACGCCGGCATCTTCTCCTCTTTCAGCAGGCAATTGAAGGACATCGCTGGTAACGTCCCGGAAGGACATGTCTGGCCTCCTGCGGAGTTCCATCTTCAGAATGCGCTGGACCTCGGCGTTGTCTAAACCGGTGACAAATCGGTCCCTCAGGAGTTGATCAGGCCGGTTGACAGCTTCTGGATCTCGTTGTCTCAGCCTCCCAAGGATTTCCTGCAATGCCAGCGAGAACTCAGTGTCTCTGTAGGCTTCTGTCTCCTGCTGTGAAACATCTGCAGGAGCGTCGCGGCGGGTACCTTGTCTCCATAGGTGTCTAGATGTCGAGCAAAAATGTCGTCTGCCCGACGTCGCTCCTCCTCCGGCATGACCAGCACCTCTCGTTTCGCCTCCCCTCCCAAATACTTGATCAGCACTTGGGACTGCTGGTCAATCGGTGTGTTCCAGGTCTTTAACAGCGACCGCATATCTTCAACCCAATCCTCAACGGTAGGATCATTGACGCTCTGCCTAAACCCAGCAAAGACATTGACCTTAAAGTCAATTGGCACGAAGCTGATGTGGTGGGCTGCAGGTGCCGGTGCAGCTCCACCATTAACCACATATTCTCTCCTTCCATGATGTAGTTGCCAACAATCCCACTTCTGACACGTGTAATGGGGGTGGGGGGCTTGTGACCCTTGACTGCTGGCAGGCTGAAAAGGAGAGAACACAGACAAGGTGGTTGGAATAGGTAGTGAACGGTACAGCACTGAAACATGCTGGACCACACCACCCAGACCAGCGCACCACCCCATCCAGTGGTCTAAACCAAGTTGAAACTCCAAAAGCAAAAACAAAAAGTGGTTGGGGTGTATCACACAAAAGAAAGAAAACAATAAAGAGTAAAATTTTAAGGGGACTAGTAAACAAAAAAGGGGGCACACCTCTTACAATAGTTTCCAGTTCTGGGTATTTCTTTTGCCATAGACATAATAAATAGCCTGTCTGTGGTGCCATGTTTAATAGCTCCATTGTGGTTCCAGCTACCTGTCTTGTGAGCGCCCTCTTGCGTATCAACAACACAACAACGTCTTCAACAAGTCTACTGCGTGGGAGCGAAAGCTGCCAGGACTCTCGTGTGTGACGACCGAGTAGTACGGACATGTACACTGTACATGTAGGGTTGGACTTTTCTTTTTACTATACGGTTGAACCATGGAGGAATCAAAATGTGTACCGTGATGCAAAGCACTTTGAGCACCACTCAGGAACAAAGGAGCAAGACTCGATGGGGGGGAACCAGGGCCACCCGGCACCCCCAGAGCCTTTTGGGGAGGTAATAAGAGAAGACGATTTTTCTGTCTTTTTTCCTTCCTTTTATAGGTTTGTAAAAAGCCCCCAAAGCTTCAGATAGGCCAATAAATGGTATATAGATATATACCCGATTGATGCCCTTCCTGAAATTCGCGTTCATTGAATACTCTTCAAACAATTCACACAATCACGAACAGATCCGCATTGTTACAAGTCACCTACTGGATCTTTTCAAAATTCTAATTTTGTTACGAATTTCCTACAAAAAGTTTGTCCGAAACGAATTAAATTTTACAAAATAACCGAAGCTACTGGAAAGAAAAAGTATCGAGCTGTATTGAGCTTTTTGTATCCATTCATGTTTTTGAGGATTGATAAAATAAACTTTTCAATCGCAATAAGGCAATAAAACTAACTTTTTAAAACTTTTTTTGATTTTCATCCCTGCTAAATTTCCACAAATGTTTTATGTTATGTAGCCATAGTTTTGATATCTTAAGTACATTATTTTTTCATTGTTATCGACTTGTTAATGCATATACATTTATTCTTTATTACTAGTTAAATCAAGTACGTGGAAAGGCAAATAAATCAAATAAAATTTTGAAACGTGCGTCCCCTGTTGAAGAATATCGACCCCAAGCGCTAGCCACAGCCCAACACGCTGAAGTCCTTGGCAACGGCTATCTTACGTAAACCCAACAATTCAGTCAGGCCCCGCTTTTTTGCAAACTTATGAACGTGTACATGTACATGTATATCGTGCTACGACGTAGGCGGCAGGTTACCGTGCCAGGTTAAGGAATAACTGAATGACTGAGCAAGTATAGATTTTGCCCGAACTGAGTGTTTGTGTCAGGTGGTAAGTGCTCGATTTTAATAGCTTCGTGGCCTGATCCTGCGTCCTCCTATGGTCCTCCAAATTTTATAGGAGCTGGCTAGTCTCCACGTTTTTAGTGCCAACGCCAGTTCTTCCCCTTTTCAAGACGGAACGTTGCTTGTGCTTAATTAACCAGCTGTATCTGCGCGCAAAACCTACTCATTCAAGAAGTGTAGGCCTGGGCTTGCACGCCCTGAATCATGTCGAACTTGTGAACCAGTAATACTAGTATCAGAGCTCTAAATTTTATAGTTTTAAACGTTCAGCAAACAGTTCACAAACTTGCTAAGATATAAGTACCAACAGTGAATGCTCACACGTGTACACGTCTGTCTCATGCCTATTTTGTGTGTGTGAAGATGAAGTATTCTTAAAAATGACGCACGTGTGCACATGATAGGCCCCATGATAGGCCTAGGTGAGGGCGTGGGCCAGATTGTTTTAAACAGTATCGTGTTTGCTCCCAGCTGAAGTCACTTTACCTCTTAGTAATTACTGAAAATGAGCCAAATTAAGACTAGCTAAGCTGGAGTAAATACTTCCTCAGTGCTACTTTGAAATTGTGCATTTCAGTGAGCTACAGTAATATGCAGATATCACTAATTTTGCTCTTCAGAACCCTGCATGCTCAAAAAGAGATATATCCACAGTGCTACCGCAAACCTATCTAGTTTACTTGTATATCAGCCTTCAGGAAGAGATAAAATGTCCTAAATGTCAAATTTAGGAGGGAAAATTGAAGTGTTTATTTAGGAAGTACTGTACTTAAAATTTCTCTTTCAATAGGGTTTTTTCAAAGAGTTTCAAGCAATGTCAATGTAGGGAACTCTTTCCAAGGCTACTTTAATAAGTGTGGAGATGTTTCCCTTTTTTGTTTTAGGCATTGCTTATTTCAAAGTAACAATGTCGGTGGAATGGGCTCGTATTTTTGGTGCTGTGGCCCTGCCTTTCACAGGAGGGTTCGTGGGAGCTAGGATCACAGGGAAAAAAGGTTCAGAGAATATGAAGTGGTATGATCAACTCAAGAAAGTTCCTTGGAATCCACCCAAGTGGGTGTTTGGACCGATGTGGACCTACCTATATGGCACCATGGGATATGCTTCATATCTGGTGTGGCGAGATGGAGGTATGGCAAGATATTACCTCATACTGTAACCCTGACACCTGCCCCCCCACTCATCACCATCTTGTCAGTCTCTTCCTGTTAATCCCTGCAGCCACTTTTACTGATATTGTGTGACAACAAATAACACAGACTATCTCTTAAACCAAATCTAACCTTTTTCAAGTTGTGTTTCATAACTGGTTTCATGCAGAAGGATGTTACAAATAAGTTTATTTTTTAATCGATGTTAGTTTCCAGTGAAGGTTTCACGAACAGTGTAAGCGTTGTTGTTGTTTTAGTGGAGAGGAAGATGAAAGTAGCATGTTCATTTTTTTGCAGGTGGATTTGACGGTGCTATGGTTCCTCTTGGAATGTACGGTGCATCACTGGCTCTCAACTGGATTTGGACCCCACTTTTCTTTCAGTACCACCTCAAAGGCCTGGTAAGGCTTATCAAAATTGCCGACAAATGGTATCACGAGGCTCAAATTTTACCTCAGCCGCTGTAGCCATAGCATTCGGTGCCCTTACAATTGGCCACGGTGCCCAGAAAATTTCCACTTTGTCGGCCGCGTTACCCATTTTACCTAGCAGTGGTGCCCCTTGAAACAATACCCTTTTTTTCCCATATGTTTCCCACCTCTAATTCATGTAAATATATTTCGTGGTGCGGTCTGCAGTGCACGATCGTCTTCATGCCACGTGGGTGCATGGCCAGGCCAGCTGAGCCAGCAGACCTGGCTGCACTGCACCATATCTGGCTTGTTTGGGTACAGCTCATTAACGTGCCTGTAGCTTGTCCTGCAGCTCTGTTCTTCTTGCTGCAAGCATTTGTAGTTGCGTGGCAGCCAGCCATCCTAGCCTGGCATAATGTGCAGCAGCTTCGCCGATGTATGGGTAGACATGAGACTTAGGCCGTGTCCAAAAGGGCTTTCCAGAGCTATGGCTAGGTCTATTGTCTATATTTTTTTCCTCGTTTCAGAGCACGTATGCAGCACATCGCACACTCAACTATATGTGCGTAACTGATTTTTATGTGGCCTAATGGGTCGGTCAACTTTGCCATGCAGGGGGATATGGTTGGTATGCTCGCGCTGTGCTAGTGAAAAAGGTGTTTCAAAATGGAAACAAAAGAAGTTTTCTTTTTTTAATTTTCTGGAATCCTTTTGTATGATTTAATTTTGTCTAATTAAAAATGCTTTGTTAGAAAATCTGCATGTTACATCCTGTAAGAGGTTGTTTTGTCAAAAACATGCATGTAGGCCTACAAACCATATTTAATTATGATAGCTTGAGCACATAAAACACTATTTTTCTTATGTTTCCTTTTTAAAACTTGTTTTGCAGAATATTTCACATCTTGGCCTCAGTGCCTTTTCTCTGTAAAAGGTGTGGCCTCGTTGCCCCTGTTGTTTGCCTCAGTGCTCCTTAAAATATCCCATTCCTGAGGCCAAAATGGTAATCCCCCCTCCAAGAAACGTCAAAATTCGAGTCCTGGTATCATCCTACCAGACCTCACAGGAAGCCTGTGATGACCACAGTTGGCATACATTAAGGATCCAAAGCATAGTGACACCTAGTACAGGGCCTTTAGAATGTTTTCATGTATACTGTTTCGGATATTGCTAAAGACCAACATCAGTTGCTTCACTTTCTATTAGCTCCCAACTGTAGACTGAGAGTTCTTGTGAAAATTCCACCAGTAGATTTGCTTATTACTGTAGAGGCCTAGTCTTTTGTCATTTTCAAACAGGCTTCCATAGATTGGCTAGGTTGTGCTTGGTTAACCATTACATTCACACTACAGATGAGCTGTTCACTTGGCTTTTCTCTTTTTCACACAGGCTGCCATAGAGATTCTGATGTACCTTGGGGTGACAGGTGTGACTACATACCTGTTCTGGCCAATTAATCAGACAGCTAGCAAGCTTCTCTTCCCATTGCTGGGCTGGATAAGCCTTGCTTCTACTCTCAACATTGGTGTCTGGATCCTGAACAAGGACAAGCAGTCTTAAGAAAGTCAGGGGCATTTGTGTCGCAGTGGCTTCTGAGGTAGATTAAAGCTGTGATCTGAAACACCTGCTCTGTCATTGGCTAAATGTAGAAATGCTGTTTTAGTGCAGAGTTGTTCCCCATCAGATGAGCTGCTAAGATTCTAGATGTTCTATTTTCCAATACAATTGCATAAATTCACGTTTGCTGCATTATCTGTAAGTTAGCTTCAGGAACGTTAGACTCGTAGTTTGAGATCTGCTGAGATTTTTCACCGGATTGAATACTTTTAGTGGGAATTATAACCAGATCGTCTGAAGTACTATGAACAATGTTCAGATTGGACATGATGAGAAGAGTTGGATGGGAATTCAAGCTGATTTGGCAAAAGGCTGTGGAATTGATAAGTACGCCTTTACTGGCAATGAAAATAAAAGCTTAGTCATCTCTGTTGTCATACACCTGGTTCCTACTCAAGATGCTCTGGGTATGTGCATGTCACTTAGAAATTACTCATGCATATGCAAATATTAATGACATATATATGTATGTTGTTGTTCCATTCCTCCAATATATATTATTAGCAGGTAAAGAGTGCCCTCTTGTGGTTGATGCAGCAATAGGTCTGTTTATTGCAAAAGGGCTTGGGATTCCAGCATGTCCTCAATAGCATGTCAAGTTGTCATTCCTCAAGAAGGACCATATTGCATTCCAGTGTAGATTCTGCTTCACAGTAACACAACATCCTACAGCGCTTTGTTTGGGAAATGTGATTTGAATACGGACGATTCACAATAGTGCACCACCAAGAGTTTGCAACACGCTGGCCAACCATAACGCACGAAATTTGTCGACCATTTTCAAACGTGCATTGGGTTGACAAATTTCGCACATTGTGATTGGCCAACGCGTTGCAAACTCTTGGTGGCGCACTATTGTGAAACGGCCGTATTGTATAGTCACAAAAATGTGAATTCTTCATTGTGATACTTCTTCATAAGCAGACCAGTGACCATCGCCATTGATTCTGCTGCCTCAATACTACTGGCTATCATTTTCTTGACATTTGTTGTGAAATTCTATGTAATAAGTTTAACTATAAAACTTCAAAGTTGAATGCATTGCCTATGAGAATCCAAGAGGGACCAGATCAAGTCAGTCATGACAAATGCCAGTTAGCTATGCATCTTATCAGACTGCTGATTTGAAATGTTTACCAAGAAGTAATCAACAATGTAAAAAGGAATTTTATATAAAAATGTTTAGCGTATGAAGTTTATATAATTTGTATCTCATTTCTAAAGGTGCATTGTGGTTTTTTAATGAGCTTCTTGTAGAATTTCCAATCTTGAGGAATATGTGTACAAGTGTGCACTTTCCCTTTTTAGCATTAGTTATGAAGAAAGTTTTGTTAAAATTTCTTGAATGAAAGCAATTGAGAAAGGTACTGATTGTATAAATCTTTGTTGACTGTACTTTTAATAGTTGACAAATCACTTTACTGGAATACAAATACTGACTACAAAGATACATTACGCACACAATGCGGCACCATACTTCAGTAATAAACATAGTAAACACATAAGCAGCTTGCATAAGTGATTTACATAGAGAAACATCAGTTCTACCTCCACTGGTAAACAACATTCAATTATTGTTGCCATTGTTTTAAATGTGTACACTCTTCCCCCGTTGTGTGCTATGAACTGAACCACGCTCACATGCACAGTAACAACATGACACTTTTCATACAAAGCTTATATACAGCACCACAAACATATATCTCATTGCATATTATGACCTTATAAATACATGTGTCCATCAGTAGTTGATTTGTCTATGATGGAGGCACTAAGATTTCTACAGAAAAGTAAATCATAGGCAACATTTGATGTGAGTTGTGACATGAATATTGGCTCCACTGCTTTTTGGGTCAAACTCAGCAAGCTACATCATTGGAGCCTCTTAAAACACTGACATTGTTTGTCTGGACCCCCCCCCCAAATCAGTCTTATTTGTTAATTTTAGTTAACATCTAATAAATATATATGTACACCCTATGGAATGACCCTCATATTTTACAGCACAATGAGTCATTTGGAAAAATGGCAGAATGTTTTTTTCGACATGTATTAGTTTTTGGCTGATTGTCGGGTTCAAGTGCACCGCGGCTTTCAAAAAGCACAAGGTTTTCCTGCATAGAAGGAACCTTTGTAAGGCAAATCTTTAAAAAAAAATGAATCAAACTACAAATGCATGGACTGTTAATAACGGTTGGGAGTTTCACTGAGTCATTTAAACTGAGTGTAACCTTTTCATTTTAATGTACGATTGAAGTAGTGTCGACCCCATTCGACAAATGAATAAGTTAATCAAATCTAACTTGTACTGATGAAAAATACAAGTTTGAAAGGAATAATCGCATTTTCTGCTGTTCAGGTGCTGTTTAGTGGTTGTAACTTTTCAAAGAAATTGCATCTTAGTTTTGGAGGTAGTCTTATAACGTTGGAAGCACTGGGACAAGGAATTGTTTTAAGTATAAAAATGGAATGCTTTTTAATTTTGTAATGTGCGCGAGTTGCCAATTCATGGATATCAGCTGCTAATCCTCTGATTTTGTCCATATTATTTCATGATTTTTGTTATTTTCTTTTGAATTTGTTTACATCACAATTGCAGAAAACTGCTTTTCGAAAACTCAAGTTTAATGCTTGGAACGAAATGTTCTAGACTTAGAGTTTCTGCTGTGAACTCTAATGCACTTATCAAGCTCCTACCGTTTGACCACACCCTAAACGACCACGCCTTTTTTTAGTGTCGCTACCCCGGACAAACCCATCAGCGAATCCAACACGTCACCTTCTGTACTCGTGGTTTCGTCGTCGGCCGCGCATTCATCCATCTCACGATCCGAAATATCCAGCGAGTCGTCGCTACCCAGGCTGTCGGGCCGTGCATCTCTGTTCACATCGGCCGTCTTGTACGTGGCGCAGGGTGGTGTCGAAGATACAGCGCATGATGTACAGGGTTTAAAGAGGGTGGGTTCAATGAGTACCTCACCTCTGCTTCCCTTGAAGATAGTACCGCAACAGATGTGCTCCCTGGCATATGAGGAAAAAAGAACGATGGTAAGACACGATTGATATTTTAGTCACAAAAGTTACATTTTATTCTTTGCTTCAGCATGGTGGTCATGTGCCTAGTTGCCTGATCCAAACAATGCAGTCGTTCTGATGAGACCCTTCCAAAATTAATCTCTCTCCGTAGCTATCCTCGTCCCCTCATAAGTAGTTGACAGTAATGGGCGCCATTAATGTGACAAAGAAAACACTGGGAGTACGTATGGCTTTAAAAATTACCGGCTTTAATTCCCTTTCGATCTTTCAAACAATTATTATACAATATGCAATTTCTGAGCCTTACATTTTCCAGTAAGTCGTGTCAATTATTGCCTGCAATGATGGCGGGAGATCGAATCGTTCTTTAGCCGTCATCATCTCAATACCATTCCTACTCCTAAGGTCCTCCAGATCATCGACGGAGCTCTCACTGGCTGTTGGACTCAGCGGCGCTTTATCTGCATCTGCAAACAAACATTAATTCTTGAGTTCACAGATTTAAAAGATCAGGTCAAAATTTTACAATGTTACAAGGTATTTCCATCCACTTCAACGCAGTCAATTAAGAAGAGCGTGACGATTAAACACGAGAATTCTCCTGAATTGACCATAAAAGTATCACAAGAAAATGGGGTTCATTGGTAGAATTAACGTTCTTCCTCCACTTGGTGACAAATTAAGAAAGAATAGGCCTAATTACCCTCTCTGGTAGGATGTGATAATCTATCCATAAGCCTCATTTTGCGGATGCCTTCAGTACTTCGATGTTTACGTTTCCTCAGGTTGCAACATCCATGACTTGATTGCGGTGATTTGACTGGTGTGTGCTTTAATTTACTCCGCAAGAGACTTTTGCCTCCCGGACCAGCTCGTGCATCCACAACCTTCGACAAAAAATAAAAAGTACAGATTGTGACAGCCTGAAAAAAGTTAATCTGAAAAGTGAAATTGAAAACAAATTACAACAAAACGGGTTGAGTACCTAGCAATCTCCTGTTAGGAAAGATGCCAGACTCAGAAATGTAAGTATCGAGAACCCTCACATGATTCCAGTTTCTCTCTGTTCCTTTTGGTAACTTCTTCCATCGTTTGATCAGCAGGACGCAAGCATTACATATCTCTCCGGCGCGTTTCTGGTCTTCGCCAAGGTTGAAACATAGCTGAAACTCATTCTCATATTTTTTACTATCTGTAATTTGCGAAAAGGATATACAATAAGTGTAAAAAACAGTGCCATGCAGACGATTTTATGGATGTATGTGACATGCGATATCGAGAATTTTTTAGAGGTCTGTTAAATTTCTGAATTGAAAGTAAACTTACCTGTAAACCTTGAACTTGATGACTTGGCTTTGCAAATGCAACAGCCGTTGATACTGCGGTAAATCTTCGGTCGATGGAAAGCAAACATGGCTGAAATGTATGGCAAGTTGCGTGGGTTTAGTGTCGTTTTCTCGGCAGAGAAATCTCAGCTCCACTTTCAAGGACCCCTGGACTGCATCAAAAGAAAGCACAAACATGGAAACACTTCCACCACTAGGATCTGTGAACTTGAGTGATTTCAGAGCAAATGTGAACGGGGAAACCCACACAATTTCTCATGCTGTTAAAATTCGTAAAGGACATGAAAATCAAGACTTAAAGTACGCACAGCAATACATTTTTCTCCATGCCCATGTATTCGGCGTTGACGTAATACCTTATTGTAAGCAATGACAAAATGTTACTGAGCATAAAACATTGACGACTGTAAACGTGCAATGAGTCTCCAGCAACACGTGACAAATTGTCATAGTCACGTGGAATTTTAACGATAGCTTGCGAAATCTACATCATTTTAGTTTACAATAACCTTTGTTTCTCCATTTTGTTTAATGTGACAGTCTTAGGACCTATGCACGAACAATGGAAAAAGTAATTGCACATTATATACGGGGACTTCTAACTTCTGTATTTTCTTTTATACAACTCTTAGAATTGAATCCAATTATACACCGGCACGTGCCTTGTTTGTCAATGACTAGTCAAGCGTGAATAAGAACAGGTGGTGAAGGGTACGTTTTCAGCTACTGGGCAGGACAAAGACGGGACAAAGAAATTAAGAGCCAAACTTGCGTGGGGTATACGCCTAAGCCTGTACCTTGGGTCAAACAGAGGGTAGCCGGGTCACTGAAATACTGAGTGCGTTTACTGCCCTTGTGATAATAATCATAAAAGTTTGTAGTTAAAACATAGCCTATATCCTAATGTCACCATTATGACCGAATTTGGAAAGACACAATTATCATGGTACAGTACGATGTGGACATGTTTAAAAATAACTATGTGATGTGTCTTAATGTACGTCCTTTTTGTCCCTACATCATTGGACAGGTAAGGACGGACCCACGCAGGACAGAAATTTCGGGGAGTCAATGTTTTAACATTTTTTTAATTTATTTTTTTTGGGGGGGGGGCGGAGCTCGGGGGCAAAATGTGGAAGTTGTTTATGTAAAATTGTATGGCCTCGGAGGGTTTTGGCTATAATTGGGGGCTTTGTTTACGGCTTTTTTTTGGGGGGGGGTTAAACAGCCCCCCCCCCCAACTTGGCAAATCGCCTTTCTCTCCATAAACGCCTCCTTTTTTGGGTGGGTGTTTGACCCCTTTAGTTTCCCTGGATGTGCCCACGAGGGCAGGCTTTACACGATTCCACATTTACACCAAACTACAGTTCAGACTTAGACCAAATTATGAATTCCACCATATGTGAAGGCCAAACCTTGGGTTCGTTGTTTGATTTTCATTATTTAAGGTCAAAATATCTTTGTTTTGATTTTTGTCTTTCGTATGACTAACAGACTGGGATTTCAATTTATTATCCGCGTTGGTCGAAGTTTATTACAGTGTTTTCTTTACTAAATGTTTGTCTAGTGCAGTTTGCTTTAATATTCACCATGGCTGACACACAGCACTCCTGCTATCATCATGAACATTTATAGAGTAATAGTTGTTTACGACATAGTTGGCTATAGCTACATGTATTGCATCGTCATTGTTAATAGGCAAAGTCATCGGTCGTGTGTGAAAATGACTATCACGATGCCATGATGCTTTTAATTTTTGTTCATACAGATTGCAACAAGACTTTGAGAATAATTATAGACAGCCTAACAAATAAAACCGAAATTTGCTATTTCTACAAAGCCGATATGCTAGCACAAAGACTCTTATGCTGTGTGGCACGGGCTTTGTGTCTCAACAGACAGCACACAGTTATCAACATGACACGTGTCCCGCACGCGCCATGTACCCCCCACGACACTAGATTGGGGCCGTGTCACAGTCCGGGTCAATTACAACTCGAGGCTTCACGGGGACCCAGCAAAATGCTGTACCCAAATAGGGTCATATTCCTGTAAATCGGAATGGCAACATACGGAGTTGGGTAGATTTGATCAAAATATGCCGTCAGAGGCAACCTGCAAACGCTGTTTGAATAACAATCCTCAAGCGGAAATTAAAAAAAAAAAGATTCTTGCATACCCCAAACCTTGTAGCCACACTGTACAACAAAGAATCGTACTTCACGGTAATTTGCAGTTGGATTTTAACTGTTTTAAAAGAAGTGCTGGGTTGACTGACAAATTAACACTAATATTACAATAGCTACTTCCATGTTTTTGCCTGTTACAAAATTTTTCTTGCCTAGAATTTACGTAAAAATAAGTAAAATGATAAAAACATATCCACTTACCAACTGGCAGATGGGCCTACTGCCTGAGCACGTTAGCGGCAGACAAAGCTCAGTCGGTGCATTGTGTACGAAGCGCTGATATCGTGTGTACACAGCGCCCTCTATAGGTCACCTTACGACCATGCTTTTTCTACAGAGGTGGGCAAAATCGATAAAATTTACTCTTTTGATGGACCTCTTTACAAATACGGTACCTTGAAAAACGACTCCTTATTACCTTTCCCCTCCTAGAAAATTCAACATTATTGCTTGTGTTGTAGACTGTTATATGAATTCTGTGTCCCCAGGCTGCATTGCTCAGCTAAATATCGAAGTCAATGATTTCAATAGATCAGTGGGGCAATGAAGTCCCGAAAATAATGGTGAAGTAAACAACGAAATGTCTACACTCATTTCCAAAGCAGTTACAGATAAATGTGTATTGATGAAATAAAAGTAAACTTTTAGTATGGATTTATGGGACTTCAAAACAAATTTTTTGAAATGTTCAAGATTAAATGTGTATGTTCCACACACAGTTTTACACGGTAACTGTGTAGGTTATAATAGCGTGTTTTATTACAGAGTAAATTGAATTTACCAGCATTTTTTTGTTCACAAATTTACATTTTGGAAAATATCCATTCAAATTACACTTAAAAATTGAAATGAAACAAATTAGATGACGTCATGAGCTGAAACCCTAATCACGTGACACGAAAAGTATTATGGGTTGCGCACTCGTATCACTGCAGCAGCGCAACCGCCATATTGGATGTTGCGAACGTTGAAATTTTCGCGCTCGACGAACGTTGATGATCAAACGTATGAGTGTTTATGTCGTAGTTGAAGGGACGTAGTTCTATTATCCACACACATAAGAGCTATGATTATTGAACATTGCATAAAAGAGCACAAGAGGTGACTATAGTGCGTACGAGGTCTTATTTTACCGTGGAATCTCCGAGGCATATTACCGGTAACGTGTGCGGTGTTTCCCGTTGGATTGTACACGTTCGTCTGTGCACAACACGGTTTAATCATCTTTTGAGTAATGGGCTAGAGGTTCAAACAAGCAGTCTTCAAGATTTCAGTGAATCACTACCTTCTTTCCAGAGTGAATCTCCCTCCGTGGGAGTGGAGAATTAAATTATAGGCTATACCATCTTCAGTTAAGGAGTAAGTATCGGACGATATGACTGTAAACTATAGCGTAGGACATGTAGGAGGAGGGCGTTTATCGTCGTCAGGTTGAATTCAGTTTGATACCGGCATGACCGATGATCGGCGTAGACTAGAGATGTGGTAGTGTTTGTGATATTCCAGGAGAAACATATCATACTTTTGTCACCAGTGTTAGCATTAACACCTAGGCTATCAATTAAATATAGGCCTAGGCCTAAACATAGGCATGATACTTCAATTACTTGATGGGCCAAAGTCTAGGCTTAATTTGGGCTTGAATTTTGAAATCCAGTGTCAGCTCCTGTCCAGCTGTCATGAATATTGTTTTGCATTTCTGTGTCATCAGTCTGTGTGATTGGTGATTGTCAAATGCTTGTAATTTGTTGGTCTGTGAGCATCGTAACACTGTTATTTGATAAGTCATGTCTATTTCAATGAATGATTTCTTTATTACGCAATAGGACAGGTGACTAAATAGTTTGAATAATTTTTACATTTGTTCAGTCTCCAACACAGTCTTGAAAATCAGCTACATGTAGTTTACTCGTCATCAGTTTGAATCTGTGGCTGATTTTGAAAGTAAATCATAACTTCATAATTTTTTAAAGACAGTTTAGTGCGCATACAGCAAACATTTGAATGTTATTTGACTTGAAGTTAAACTTACATGTACATGTATTGAATAACATAAATAAGGAGTTTCAAATTTTAAGTTGGTGTTTGTGAAATGTTCTTACCTGTTACATGTACATTAGGAAAGGCTTTCGAGTCGACTGGTACGTTGGATGACTCATACCATAGGCAACTCATACCTTGGACAACTCATACCTCGAGTTAAGACCACTCATATATGTACCTTCATGTTTGCAATTAGGTTGTAAATTTCTTGCTCTTCCTTTTCAGCATATTTAAGATCAGATTTGACAAACATCAAGGAAAATCTTCATAAATCTCCAGGAGAGATCTCGAATTCTCAAGCACCAACGTGATTTTCGGCATAGTGCCTGCTGCGAGTGTTTGCACCGTCAGTTTATGTGACGGATTTCAAACAACCCGACCGTTTACCAACTTGACTTCCTTCATTCGTTTTTTTTTGGGGGGGGGGACTTCAATTTATTTTTATGGCCCTGGGAAAACGATATTGGACTTAATGCGGGTGTACTTAATGAAACTTGTTAGGTCTTGATTTCTTTTGGAAATGCTTCTGGTCTTGTTTTAAAATTTGGGGGGAGTGGTTGCCTTCCTTATTAAAATGTTTTTTGGGGGGGACAAATTACAATTGACATTTACAAATGAAAACATGACATCACTCCATCATCACGGTGGATTGCACGGTGAAGATTCCTAATTGCATGCAACGACAGCTGGTCATGTTGAGGAGCGCCAGTTGCCTGACCACACATACACATGTACGACGTTGACGCATCTCACATTAACCCTCCTTTGGTTTTACAGCACTAATATGCACAAGTGCCCACAGTCACTC